CTAGAATATTCAGAAAAATACTCATTAATAGCAGTAAGATGAAAACATCCTTATCTTTCCCGACCATTGTAAGGACTACCTTTTATTTAAGTGTTAATTAAAAAAAAAAAGATTGATTTTATAGAGAGGAGGGGGAAAGAAAGAGACAGACAGAGACAGAGAGGAACATCGATTTGTTCTTCTACTTGTCTGTGCATTCACTGTTGATGCTTGTATGAGCCCTGACTGGAGATTGAATTCACGACCTTGGTGTATGGGGACCACCCAGCTGGAGCTGCTTTTTATTTTCTAATGCTATCCAGCTAAGGATGTTTTTTTGGTCATGTTAGGAAATAAAATTCTCTTTTCACCTGAGTGATTTTTATCAGGAATAACTGTTACATTTTAGCAAATAATTGTCTTCGTTTTTATTAGAGGCAGACTTGTGACATATTCTCCAAAATGAAATAAAATAGCACGTGAAGAATAATGTTAAAGAATGTGAATAGAAGACCGTCTCAAAGATTCTATCTAGTATTGTTACACTGATCAGCAGGACATCAGCACGCAGTCACTTGAAAATGAGAACCAGTGAAAGGAAGCTTACTCCAGACTCAGTGTTTGGAAGGACAGACACCGTTTTATCTTCTCCGGGGCTCTCCTCTTGGGAAATAACAGAATCTTGAGAAACTGGATCTAGGAAAGAAAGAAAAAAACACACTCCAGTCTTTGAAATGAATTCCTCAGACTAGAAATTCTTATATGTCTCTGGGGGGAAAAGGTCATAAGAAATAGAAAAAAGTTTCTCCCAACTTTTTAAAACAGAAAGAACCACAGGTACCGTTTCTCATTAAAATCCAAGCTTTTCCCCCTATCCTGTAAAATAGCCTTTCAATTCCTAAGCTCACAGAAAACTGATTTCATTCATGCCATATATCGACAGTTTAATATATTTAATTTGCAGGAAATTATTTAAAAAATATTTATAAGACACATTAAGGTAAAACTACATATTTATGTTTTCTTTCTTCATAGTCCTACCACAATGCCTGGCACAAGGGCCACTTATGAAACAAAAGCACCAAACTGGTGTCAAAAACTGACTCCACCTCTGAAGGCTCCCACAATTCCTAAAGACAGAAACCAGGGATGTGCACCTATGAACTAAACACAGTAAATGCTCTGAGATGTTAACGACACTTCTAGTAAAGAGAGAAGTATTTTTTTAAATCACACTTCCTTTTCTTATGAATATAATTTTAGGCGGCTTATTGATTAGAGACAATCAATGGACATTAAGAATCGGAACCACGCTATCCCAGAGAGGAGAGGGGCTGTTTCCAGGAAAGTGTTCTGACTGGCAGAATGCCAGACGGTCCATTCACAAGAGACTGCAGGGGCACCGAGGCCCCCCTTTGGTACAAGCACCATGCTGCGGTGACAGGCACGTTAGAGGAGCTGGGAAGCCCGAATTCTAGACACACAAATGAGCTGTGTAACAACAATTCAAGTCTGTGGAGGAGAATGCTAGGTCCCCATTTACCTCAGAAGTCCTGGTAGAATACACACTGCCACCCCCACGCACTGAGAGTCTGATGGTAAACAACAGGCAGAAATAGGTGGAATATTTGTAGCATATTGAGGGATTCTGTAAAAGTTGAACCACATGCTCTCAAATGCCTAGCCACCCTAGACATCTTTTTACCAATACTTTACAATGATATAATCGTGTTATTATTCATAGTTTGTTTTTATATGTTTGTATATAATGTATAATAATATAGTTATGAAAATGTAAGTCAACTGTTCCCTAAGGCTACGGAACTTCACTACCCACCAGGGTAGTTGCTGGCTACATGTGGCTATTGAAATTCAAGTTTGATTAAAAACTCAATTCTTTATTTGCACTAGCCACATTTCATATGCTTAATCTGAAATGCAAAAGAGGGCAGAACGCATTTCCATCATCGCAGATGGTGGGTAGCTGCATTCTCGAAATGTGAGACTGCACACACGGCAGCGAGCTGTCAAGGCCTGGCTGGGTGGCAAGCTTGTGACTCCAAACGTTTTCGGGTGTGGCATCTTTCTCCTGTGTTCGAAAGTCCCCTCTTGCTCAAGGGCAAAGAGAAAGAAATTAGCATTTGAGCACCTACCATGTATTATATCTTACTTTAGTTAATCCTCAAAACTGTAGATAAGATGGGATCCCCTTTTTATACATTAAGACATTAAAGTTCTGAGAGGTGCTGCAGCTTGCCTAAGATCACACAAGAAAAGGCAGGGCCGATGCAAACCCAGTCCCACCTCTAAACTGAGACTTAGTCTCCTCTCTAGCAACAGACTGCTGTCTTTGAGATGTTCACTCTCATACGCTCAAGAGATCTTACCCACTCACTCCCTCCTCTATAACTCTCACCTTCCTTTTCTTCAAGCGTTGGGCTCAAATCCTCTATTAAGGTTACCACCTCCTCACTATTCTCAGGATGTTGTGACTTTACCCAGATCCTGACCTCCCCAGGCAAAACGGCCAGGAACTGCTCAAACACCAAAAGCTCTAAGATTTGTTCTTTCGTGTGGATGTCTGGTCTCAGCCACTGAACGCAGAGCTCCCAGAGTTGACTCAGGGCTTTTCTGGGTCCAGCCTCCTCCGAGTAACAAAACCATCTGAACCTCTGCCTGAAAGACTCTGGGTCAACGGTGTTTCCTCTCAGGGGCGCGTCTTCGCCCCCAAGTGTATCCATTTTTAGGACCTTGCTTTCTTCACTTGAGGCCAGAGTTGGAGGCTCTGGGGAGATGGCTGTCATGTTGTTCGCAGGTATGGTACTGCGGCTTGCAAAGCGTGTCACCAGCAAGAATTCGGTCCCCTTCAGACGCTAGGTGAGTATCAGTACAGTTCACCAACAGGCACTACACACAGCCAGTATCTCGATTCCAAGGATTCAGTTTATGGTTTTGCAGAAACTGTTAAGAAACATAAGTTATTTATCAAATAAGTGAAACAAATCATAAATCCTCAAAACATTGTTTATGGTTTGGGGGGTGTGTGTGTATTCTCAGATGCCTAAAACAGCACTGCCCAACCACTATATTAAAAGAGTACTTTCCTTTTTTTAAAGATTGTATGTATGTATGTATTAATTTATTTAGAGAGAGAGGGGAGGGAGACAGAAAGGGAGAGAAACACCGATGTGTAAGAGATACACCAATTGGTTGCCTCTTGCACGCCCCCTACTGGGGGCCTGGCCTGCAAGCCAGGCAATGAAAGAACCATTTTCTTTTGCAGGTGAAAAGCCAAGGAGTTACTAAGGATAATTAAAGGCATCTTCAAGGAAACAGTTCTTTCGAATAAATACTCCTCCTAAGCAAAAGTGATCAGGAAAGGTGCATGGCTACAAGAGGATCCAGTCACAACGCTATTCAGTGACTCCTGCCCTCTCTCAGCGAAGAGCCACACATTTCCACCAGTTGCTCCACTTGAAAGCCTGATTTCCTATTTGCCTATCAAATTGCTCACATAATCAATAACCCAATTCTGGCAGTTTCATTTCCTAAGAACCTCTCCATTCCATCCCACTGAAACTATGTAAGACCAGGCTTCTCCAGTCCAGTAACACAATGCAGCCTAAGGATTCCTTCTAGTATGCAAAACACAATCCTTCCCCAACTGTCTCGAGGTAATAAAATTCAAACGCTGAGGCCATGCATGATGATCTGGAGACCTTGCCCCGATGACCTCACCTCTCCAGCTCCAGCTGCCCCTGACGGACACTGCAGCCATAAAGAAGAATCTCCAGGCTCCCAGACACTCCACCCCCTTCCATCCTATGCACTAGCGCCACTCCCTCTCCTTGAATGCGTCTTCTTTCCCTCTCCAAGCAAACGTTTTTCCATTCTTTAAAACTGTCACCTTTCCATCCTTTCGACTGTCGCCTCTTGTGTGAAGCTTTCTCTCATTCCCAGGTGCTCCTCTGCAGAGAACCTGCCCTGTGTGACACACATTCTTTCATTCTACAAATAACCCAACATGTTCCAGGAGCTGGGGAAGGAGCATTAGGGAGGCAGTCGCGGACAGATCAGACAGGGTCCCCACACTTACGGAGCACCCGGGAAATGACAATACAGCCTGGGATGTACTATACTGCAGCAAGTGCCAGAACAATCTTCTCCTATTTCAACCCTGGTACCAATAATTACCCACCTCCGAGCACAGCACCCAGCACACAGAATGCATGACGTCACTTATTCCTCTGCCAAATATTAGGTGCATACCCTGTACCTGGCGCCTTGCTGGGCATCTAGGACTCTGTGGTGACTAAGACACTTGTCTCGGTCTCCAGAGAGCTTACAACAGAGGCACCGCGAAAATGTGACGCAGGCAGAAAGAAGTTCTCCAACACCGGGCAGGTAGGGATCTGCCTTATTGGGTACGTTGGCAACGTCTGACCACATTCTGGTTATCATGACTGGGTCGCAGAGATGCTACTGGTACCCAGCGATTACAGCAAGGGATGCTGCTAAGCATCCTGCAATACACGGGACAATGCTCCTCACCCCCAATGCACACCCAGCAAAGAATTTTCCCGCCCAAAATGCAAAAGTACCTGAGCGGCGAGAACCCCGGAGCAGGGAGGGGATGGAGGAAAACTCAGTCATTTAGGATAGTGCCCACCTCCCACAGGAGCTGTGGCATTGGGCGCACAGCCAGGTAGGTCAGCTGCCCTAGGCCCCCACCCCGCTCCGAGTGCGTCCTAGGAGCCGGCGACCGAGCGTTGGTCCCCAAACTATGAGCCTGGGAAAACCACTACCTGCATCAGAACCCGCAGCCAGGACCAACGCTACCGCAATGAGCTTCTAGAAGACTGTCCTGCAGAAGCTGCGCGCGCAAGCTGGCTGGGGACCACTGCGCCTGCGCAATGGCGCTGAACTACGATTCCCGGAGTGCGCTCCTCTGGTTTTGCGAAAGTCCTGTGCTTTCCATAGGCTCTCACCCTCGCCTGTTGCGCACGATCATTGGGAAGCAGCTGGTGGGCTCGGCCACAGAATTATTGCTGCGCCAGAGGCCTAAAAGCCTAGAACCTTCTGCGATTTTCAGGTCTATGATGTTATGTCTCCTTGGTAACGTCAAATCATCCCGCCCCCGCTCCCCTCCCTACCCTTCCCTGAAACCGAGGCTGGAAAAACCCACCGCAGAAGCATATCACTAATGCATGCAATACAAGCCGTGATTAATGCCGCAATGAATTAAACAAACATTAATTTTATGATTTTCATTTTGCCACCATGGTTCAAAACACCATTATGCTTCCTCCGGATTATTGCAATAGCTTCTTGATGTCACTCTTCTTCACGCCACAACCAAAGAGATGCTTTAAAAACATAAACCAGGGGATGCCCCTCCTCTGCTTAAAGCTCTGCAAAGGCTTCCCATTTCACTGCGAGTGAAAAACCATGTTTTCACAAAGGCCCATAAAGCCTATCGAATCTGGGCACCCATGACCTCCCTGACCTCTTTCCCTTCTTCCCTGTTTCCGTCACCATGGCCCCCTTGCTCTCCCTCTCCCTCCAACCCGCCTGGCACATCTGGCTGGCATGCTGCTCCCAGAGGTAGCAGAGTGTTTCACTCTGCCACTCCTTCATATCTTCCGAGGGAAACTCTCCCTCCACTGTACTTATATTGAAACTCCACCCCCACCCCACTGCTGTTTTCTTTTCTAACATATTGTGTAACTTCCTTATTTATTTACTACTCAGTGCTGCCTTCTTCACTTGAATATCAGTTCCACAAGGATAAGCAGCTTTTATCTGGTTTGGTCCATGGAAGTACAACCTCCAAGTTCTTCCAGAACAGTGCCTGACACAAAGTAGGTGCTAAATAGGTATTTGTTGAATATCTAAATGGGCACTTGTATGGATTACTGGGGCCATAGCAAAAAGGACTGAGGAACTCCAGAAAGATTATTGGGAGGGTTCTAATAACTAGATGACTTCTGGAGGTGTGTAGTTGTGAGAGAAAGACTAGGTTGAAGGAGCAGGGTGGGTCCAGGCCCTGAGACTTTAAATGGAAAAACCAAGTCAGCTTAATGAAACCAGTGCATGCATCTCAAAGGCAGCAAGGCTGGCTGCAGAGACAGGGTTACCTGCAGTCAAGAAGAAGCTATCCCAGTGCCAGGGCTGAGTGCCTGTTCTCTACCTACCTCTGCTTGGCTGGCTGAAAATGGAGGGGACTTCAAGCTCAGGAAACTAGAGGAACATGAAAAGGAATTGGCTCATTTGTTTAACCAGGCAGGCCAGAGAAACTTCTAAGTAGTGGTTTTCAAACTTTTTTGAACTTGAGAATCACATGGTATTCCCATCTGAATACAGGTATTGGGACTCTGCCCCCACACAACCTGTTGCAGGTGATCCTTAGATCACACCTTGAGAAACACTGCACCCATTGGAACAGTGTATAATCGATGCTACATGTGAATAAATTACCAGGAAAGAAGGACCCCCTTCTTGGAAGTGGGGGCCAACCTGTAAATTTTGACTAAAAGCAGACGTCGTGGTAAAGTGTGATGGATTGTGCATCAGGAAAGAAAGAGCCAACAACAAGTCAGTTAGTTTCACTTGTAAACAAGCTGGTGGGATCGCTAACCAGCATAAGTGGACGTAGGAAGGAATACTTTAAGCCAATAAATGCTCTTCTTGCTTGTTTGTTTTTTAGCTGTTTGGGCTTCAGTATGGAGAACAGACTGGAAAGAGGTAAGGCTGGAGACAAAGCAGACGTGATAAATCTCACATTATGTCTGTGAGACTTATCAGTATGGTTGCATGTGGTTATAAATCCGTGAAAATCATTTGTTTTCATTGCTGCATAGTATTGCCCTATGGCCTGTTATTTATATTGAAGTTTCCTGCTTTTTACAGCCCCTCGCCCAGCCTCCATTCCCCCATACAGAGGTGAGGAGTCAGCATGTGTGTGTGAATGGCAGGTCTGTCTGGTTTTCCTGCCTTCCTTCTAGAATCACCCACCTTAAAGCATCAGAAGAGCCAAGGTCCCACTCTCCCCTCCCCACCCCTGCTGTACAGAAAATGACACCCAGGGCAGAGAAGGGTCTTGCTTGAAGGTCACTCAGCTGGTAAATGGGCAGCTAACTGGCCTTTCGGGAGGAGGACGCACATCTTCCCCCGTAGCTGGAGGAAGGAGCACAGCCTAGGAGTTCAGGGTAGGAGTTTTAAAAGTTGTTGTTTAAGTGCCAAACTTTCTCCAAAAGAAATGTTACAAGTGAAAGAGGAGCATTCCTGAGCAAAGCCCTGTGTTCCGCACCCAGGCGGCCTTTGAGATGTCCTTTCGGGACCCTGCAGCTCCTGTCTGATCTGACTCAAGGACACCGCACCCACACATCCTAGTGCCTCTGGCCTTGGCTCTGCGGAGACTCCAAGAACCCCAGAGCCAGTTAGAAGCCGTGCTATTCTTCCTGGGAGCTCTGACCATCTCCTGGAAAGAAAATAGTAGAAAAACCACTCCTGCCTAGCTCTGTAGGGCTATGAAGGGAGAGGACAGTAGGAGTATCTTCCAGAAAGAAAGAAACAGCAAGTTAGCAAGCAAGCTACAGTACAGTAAGGGTCCACTGGAGAGAAAGAAGATGAAGATACAGAGCAAAGGATTCTATGGAACGAAGACTGAGAAAATAGGAGGAAATGCACTGATGGAGAGATGCCTTACACCCAGAGCCAGGGGCCACTGTTCATTGTAACCGAAGGGGAGGAGGCAAGGAAGAGTGCAGATGCAATAGGTGTGTGACTGCTGGTGTTTGGTGGAGTCAGCTGAGAGATTAGCGGGAGCAGTAGGTGGGAGTGGGGTCTGAAGCTTGATAAGAGTGGATTAGGTTCTAGATAGCTTTCCGGGGGTCAGTGTGAGCTAACTAGGAAAACACCAAAAGATTTCACTGCAGTGTTAGAGACCACCAATTTACATCACATATATATGTACGTTGAGTGATTTTTCTCAAGAAATGTAAGTACTCCCAGAATACGTATAGAGAAGAGGGATGTTTGAGTTGCTTCAGGAGATGGGGTTTGTCGGGGGAGTTTGGCAGGAAGGCAGTGGCACATGGGGTTCAGGATATGAGCAAAAGGATGTCGGAAATGAAAGGCGAAATCCACTTTAGATAAGGAAAATGAAGTTAGCTACTACGAAGGGAGGACGTAGAGGGATCAAAGGATTAGCAATCAAAGCTTAATAAGCAATGTACTCATCAAGTGAAACAGACACTGGCTATGTGACCGAGCAATCGCGTGTCTAGGTATCTGCTCAGGAGAAATGAAGCGATATGCCCACCTGTATGGGAATATGTATGGCTTCTTTACTAATAATTGCCAAAACCTGGAAACAACTCAGATGTGTAGCCACTAGTGAACAGATATTCACACAATGTAAATACTACTCTCTGTTACTTCTCAGCCACAGAAAGGAATAAACTACTGATATGTGCAAAAGTATAGCTGAACCTCAAAATCAATATGCCAAGGGAGAGAAGCCAGGCACAAGGAGGAATACAGTGCACGAGTCCATTGATACGCCGATTTAAACAAGACAGAGCTACGGGCACAGGAAGGAGATCAGTGGTTTGCCAGGCACTAGGAGTGGAGAAAAGGGGCTCAAGCGAACTTTTTAGGGTGATGAAAACACTCCGCTGTAGCTCAATTGTGGTGGCGGTTCCATGATTGTGCATGTCTGTCAACTTGTATTCTACACTCATTTGTCGGAGAGAATCAAACACATTAAAATGTGCGTTACAGTCCCTGTGAATTATACCTCAATAGAAATGAAAGCATATTTGCAAAGGACTGGTGACAACAGCTTTTTAAATTTTTCTGGTAGTAGTTAAAAAGTGGAAACATCTCCAATGTCCAGCAGCTGGTAAATGGGTAAGCAGTAAACAGTAGTGGTGTAGCCAGACAATAGGACGTTACTCAGAAATGAAAAGGAACCCATGACCGGTACTTGCCACAGCCTAAATGAAATCTCGAAGTGGAAGAAGTCAAACAAACAAGCAAACAAAAAAGAATACATAGTATGTGATTCCATTTATATACAATCCTAGAAACTGTAAACTAATCTTTAGTGATGGAGAACAGATCAGTGGCTGCCTGGGAAGGGTGGGGGTCTGGGAGCAGAGAAAGCAGAATGACAGAGGTCCGTCAGGAAACCTGTGGAGGTGACAGAGATGTCCGCGGTATTGATTCTGATGATGCTTTCATGGGTGCACATGTATGTCAAAACTCATCTTTACTCTTTAAATATGTTTAGCTGGTTGTTTTTATCACTTAATCCTAGATAAAGCTTAAATGTTCATAACTCAATACACCTGGCTTTTCAGAGTAAAGAATGGATGTCCTAGAATAACTGAGCCAAAGGCAGAATGGCCGGCTAATGGGTGGGCTGGCAGATGGGAAAGCTTTCGGCTGTTGTAGGTGGTGACCAAGTCTGCGGTGTGGCTGTGGGAGTGGGTCACTGCCAGGGAGTGAGGGTGGAGGGGAGAGGAGTGGAAACACTCAAGGGAATGAAAAGCCAACGTGCGGGAAGGCGCCATCAGCGGGTGTTGACATCCAAGATGCTCCAGGGTTTAGGACGGAGAGGAAGACTTAGGTAGGTAGAACTTTGGTCTGTGAGTCCCAGGGAGGAGCTGGGAAGGTACTGGTTCTCCCGTCTCACCGAGTGGAAGGCGAGGTGTGAGAGACTGGGCAGTTTATGTGGGAGTTGCAGGGGAAGAGGCATAATCGGACGAGGTAGGAAGTGAGTGTGAATTCTGTGAAGCTGTTGAGGCTGGAGGGGTGTTTGTAACTACTAACCTGGTTCCAGAGGGCTCAGTGGAGTTTTGGGGGTGATTATGGGAGGTTGGGGCAGCCTGAGAGGAATGCACAGAAACATAGGGTTTGCAGCGCAGGAGTGGAGAGATCCTGTTGGGGTGTCGGGTGGTGGAGCAGTGAGGGGAGCACTGAGGATTATAGGAGAAACAAAACATTGCTCAGCCTGGGGCAAATTCACATTGGGTTTCCCCAATTTGTCTGATAGTATTGAAATATCATTTGCCCACAAACCTTCCTTGCCTTGTCGATATCGGCCCCATCCAGTTCCAAAGGTGATCTGGGCAGAGGCACAATGCACCTACCTCTGTGGGGCTTGAATGTAAACAGTCCTTTGAGACCCCGAATACAAAGGCTGGAATCCCATGAACACATGCTGGGTGCCCTTGACTCAGAAATTAGTTCTCCTCCTCCGTGCTGGCCTGTTGCTTGACACTGGTTGTCAGCCTTTTCCTCAAGGCCCCTTGTCTGGGCGGGCCTCAGTGCTCTTGGAGATGAGAGACAGAGAAGGGCAGACTGTCCTGCGGCCCAGTGGTTTTCTGAATGCACCCATCTTTCCCAGTGACAGCTGATGTCCTTGCTGGCTAAGAAATGTTCACCTTTGCTTTGACCTCAGCTGGTGTGTTTCTATTCGCTTTACAACTTGGCTTTTGTCTTTATTGCCGAACGTTCTTTTCTGTATCACTTTATTATAAAGTACTTCCACTACTTTTTTTTTTTTTAAGTAAGTAGGTGGGAAGGGAGAGATAATGAATATGTTTGCTTAGCCCAACGAATTCAAAACCCATCTTTTCCTTAGCCTCCAAACCTATTCCTCTATCTTGGTTAGGGCCGCTACCTACTTTGTCACTTCTCTAAACTGGGAATCTCAGGAACGGTCTCCCTACCCTTCCATCCCTACGTCCCATCTCACTTTAATTGCCTCCTGAATTTGAAACTCAACTCTCTATTTCTATTGATTTTCATCTGAGATGTTGCAATAGTTGCCCTCCCTTTGTCCCTTCCTGCACATTTATTAAACATCTGAGGATACAAATGAATTGAATAAGGTATGAGGGTTTAATGCAGTTGGGAACTAACAATCAAGATGATAAATGAATGGCAATGGATTGCTTAATTCTTATTATCTCGTAGAAGACAGCATAGAAGTTTCCCTGAGACTCAGACATTTTCCTGGTACCAAATTTTAGGAAAAGCTATCCCTTGGGTAAAGGACCTTAGAAAACATAATGCAGAATTCCTTTAAATAGACTGTCTTTTTTAGAAATTAAAAAAATGTTACTAATAAAGCAAAGTAGCTCCGTGAGCCCAAATAAAAGCCTAAGGCAGAGAGCACTACCTCGGGGGGAATCTAACTGAGTCAAATAAAACAAAGCATTGTGGGAGGCAGAAAATACTGAAAAGTACCTTCAAAACTGTGAGAACGTATTTCCACTTTGGGATTCTGTCTCAGCATCCTGGGTATTTCAGTGTAGCTTAGAGACATTTTCAGACATGCAAATCCCCAGTGTTCACCTCCTAGTCTACCTTTCTAAGAAGTTCCTATATGAGAAGTTAGCAAACTCTAGCCCCTAATCGAAATCCAACCCATGGCCTGTTTTTGTAAATCCAGTTTCACCGAAACACAGGCATGATCCTTTGTTCGTGTGGTGTTTATGAATGTTCTCATGTTACAACAGCAGAGTTGAGTGGTGGTGACAGGAACTGTAGGGCCCACAAAGGCTAAACTACTTACTATCTACTCCTTTACAGAAGAAGTTTGCCAATAAAGTGAATAGGGGAGCAGAAAGGGGAGATAATGATGGAAATGGGCGGACTACAGGAAGACAGAATAAAAATGAGAACAAAAATGAGTCAAGGAAGGCAAGAGAGGGTGTGTGCAAGAAATGTTTTATGTTTGAGAGATGTTAGCAAGGCTAAGCTGTTGTGAAAAAGTATTCAGTTGGCCAAAAAGTCCATATGGTTTTGTCTATAAAAGACACATCTTTCATTTTCACCAATAACTTAATTGATTTGGATATTTTGAGTATGTTGGCTCTCTCCCCCATGGTATAACACTGATTCTTCTCAATTAATGTCTCGATTTGATCGCTATCAACTTCAGCTGGTCTTCCCAACCATGGAGCGTCGTCCAACGAGAATCTCTAGCACGAAACTTCGCAAACCACTTTGACATGTTCGATCAGTCACAGCACCTTCTCCATACACTGCACAGATCTTTTTAGCATTTCAGTTGTGTTTTTACCTTTCTGGAAATAATAAAGCATACTATGCCAAAAATGTTGAGTATTTTCTTCTATCTTCAATATTAGAATGGCTGCAGGAAAATTCACCAGTTTTGTTGTTTTTTTTTAAATGCCTGGTGATAATGACAGCTACAATACAATCACAATACGATTTAACAAAATTGTTTCAAATGAAGTTAAAGACAACTAAGTGCTACTGGAGTCATCTTATGGGGAAAAAAATAAAAACAAATGAGCTTTTTGGCCAACCTAAAGAAGGGGTGGGGATGGGCAGAAAGGGGTAATGAAGGAGGTTAAAAGATACGAACTTCCATTTAAAAAATAAAGTCCTGGGGATATAATATACAGCATGGTGACTATAGTTAATAATACTTTATTGTAGATTTGAAAGTTGCTAAGAGAGTAGACATTAAAAGTTCTCATCAAAACAACTTGTAATCATGTGTGGTCATGAAAGTTCAATTTATTGTAACTATCTCATGATACATACATATATATTACATACCTAAGACTCATACAGTGTTACATATCAACTATTATTTCTTTTTTAAAAGATTTTATTTATCTATTTTTGGACAGAGGGGAAGGGAGGGAAAAAGAGAAGGAGAGGGAGAGAAACATCAATGTGTGGTTGCCTCTCATTTGCCCCACCAGGGGGGACCGAGCCTGCAACCCAGGCACCTGCTTTGAATGGGAATCGCACTTGTGACCCCCTGGTTCGCAGGTCGGCACTCAGTCCACTGAGCCACACCAGCCAGGCCTCTTTTTAAAACTTCAAAAAAAATTAATCGATGAGAGAGAAACATGGATGTGGTTCCAATTATTTTTGCATCCATTGGTGGGCGGGGAGGTAGAGGACAATCTTTTTATTCTCCAGTATTGTATTGTTTGCAAATAGTTCATTGTACACTTTCTTTGTGACTATATCAAACAAAAGAATCAAAATGTCCTCAAAGAAAAGGATTGGTTGGTTCACTGGATATACCTATGAAGTCATGAGCAACAACAAAAAAGTGTAGTGGTGTAAAGCTTTTGAATTAACGTGGAAGAATGTTTAGGGGGGAAACATTGCCGCAGGACTCCCCGCCCCATCGCAGGTGTGTTTGGCGCTGGGCTGGCGTGCAGGACGCAAGGGCCATGAGGGTACCCACTCAACCGTACCTGTTTACGTAGATTCTCTGGGTCAACGGTACCTGTTTACGTAGATTCTCTGGGGAGTGAGACTGCAGGGGAGAGGACTTTCACTTTTAATTTTATGATTTTCCGAATCACTTGATTTTCTTTTTTTTACAGAGACCATGTATACTTTCTGTAATAAAAGCAATAAAAGAAATAGTGCCTTTGATGTTGTGTACTTTTTTGGGGGGGTCAACATTACACACGGAATGACAGTTTTCTGGACATTAACTAGGGCTTTAGAGATGCCTACTTTTAGGAATAAATGCAATTTTAGAATCCATTTAGAATCTTGATTTCTTCCTCATAAAAATGTGTCTGATCTTTTACCTAATTTGTTAGGACAGTACCATCACTTAAAGCAATTATGCAAGCCCTTAATCTGAATTCCATTTTGCAAGCTTTTTTTTTTTTTTGAAGTACATGGCCTTATGAAAAAACCGAAGGTAGGATAAAGTTAAAAATAGGTATATTCAAAGCACATCACTCGGGCTGCCACAGGAACGTATTATAATAAGCACATTTAAAAACTAGCTCATGTACGTATATATACTTGAATTTGAACTTTAAACAATCTATGTCCACTTAACTCTCGGGAGTGCTTAGTGACTTTCCTTCACTCCGAGTTCTCGTTCCTAAGAGCGCCAGAAACCCACACTTTCCTCCACGTGAGAAAAGGAGCCGCGGGAGCGCGGTCCCGGCGGCTCGCGGCGCCCGGACTCGCCCGCCCGGACTGAGTCAGCGCCCGGCCGAGAAGTTCGGCGGGAGGCGCAGGGCGGGGCTTCCTCCCGCCGACCGCGAACGCGGCTCCACTTTTCCGAGGCCACGTCTCTTCCTTCGGACAGGCGCGCTTCTCCGGGTCGGGACCAGCAAGCAGCGTGACAGCCACAGACCGTTCCGAGCGGAGCCTCGGCCGCGCCTCGCGGGTCTCCCCCGGTCCGGGCGCTCGGGCCCAGCTCGGCGGAGCCCCGGGCGGCCCGCGGCGCGCGTCCCGGCGGAGACCAGCCCCCCGAACGCCTCGCTGCCCGGCGCTCCCCGCGCGGCGTCCGCGGCATGGAGACGGGCTCGGACTCAGGTCAGACGCCCGCGCGGCCGCCGCGCGCCGGGAAGGCCAGGCCGGGTGGCCCGTGCAGGCCGCCGCGCGCCGGGTCCGCGCGGGGGAGCGCTCGCGGGCCGGCTCCGGCGCGCGGGGCGGGCGGCGGCAGGTGGGCAGGACGATCCGCGAGCGAGCGAGGGCGGGCGGGCGCGCGGCGGGCCCTGCGGGGGGCCGCTGGGAGGATGGCTCAGCTCTTTCTAAATATAAAACCGGCGTGAGCTGGGCGAGCGCGGCGCGGAGCCGCAGAGCCGCCGCGCGGGCCGGGCGCACCGGGGCTCGGCCAACAGACGGCGGCCGCTCGCAGCGGCGCGAGGCTGCGGGAGCGCCCGAGTCGCGACCGCGCGGGGGACGCGAGAGCGGCGCGTGCGGCGAAGCGGACGCGGGCGGCGGCGGCGGCGGGCGGGCCTTGAGGGCGCAGCGCGGCCGCGCGGCGCGACCCGAGACGGCGGCGGGCCCCCGCCGCACCGCGAGCCGCGAGCCCCCCGGCGCCGGCGGCCCGCGCCCGCCCTCCGCGGCCCCTCCCTCCCGCCGCGGCGCAACATGGCTGCGGCCGCCGCCTCCGCCTCCCAGGACGAGCTGAGTAAGTGCCTCCGCGAGCCTGCGGCCGCGGGCCGGGGACGGCGCCGCGCGGGGCCGCGGGGCCGAGGCCGGGAGGGCCGGGGCGCGCTGCCGCCGGCGGGGCGCGGGGCCGGGTGGGCGGGCGGCGGCCCCGCGGGCCCGGGGCCGGGGCGTTCGGGCCTGGCGGGCGGGCGGGGCGCCGGACGCCGCCGCCGGCGTTTGTAGGCCTCAGGTTTGCACCGTCACGTTGCGAAATTGAAACCGGAGCCCCAGGCGGAGCCACCTCGGTCCGCGGTCCGCCCCGGCTCTGGGGTGGGGGCGGCCCAGCCCCCTGCCCGCGGCGTCCGGGCCGGCGGGCCGGCCGGAGCCCCGGGGTGGTGTCGGGTCAGCCCGCCCCGTCCGACCCCGCTTGAGCCCCCCGGTCCCAACTGTGGGGCGACTCGGAGAAACAGAGCTTTCACGGGGAGGGAGAAGGTGCCTTTCTGTGACACCCAGACACGGGCGGCAAGGCCGGGAGCGGGAGGTGGCGGTCACTCAGGTGGAGCAGGAAGGACGCGAGGGCAGCGGCGCTGGCCGCGGGGGAGGCCGCGCAGTGACAGCGCTGTCAGAGAGCAGAGCCCGTGCACACTCGCCCTCAAACGTCGCAGTTTCCCGGGGGACGGCGACCCACGTTCGGGGAGAGCGGTGGCCACCCTGAATCCCAGGCCGCCACGCCCGCCGCCCGGGTTCGCCGCGATGCTTTGTGGGAAGTGTAGTCCCAGGGCGTCTCGGGCCCTCGCTGGGGTCCTACACGTTGAATTTCCCTCGGAGGGGTACGATCGTTTCTGATGGCGTTTGGGGCGGTTCGATGAAAGGCCTTCAGTTGAGTTTTTGGTGCCGTTTCCTGAGTGCGGCCCTTCAGTTTAGGGCGAGAACAAGAGAGGTGTTCTTTGGGGGTGCAGGTCGGTTTTACCTGGGATGGGGCACAGGGGAGGCGTCCCAAGCTCTGTGAGGTTCTGTGGTCCCAGCCCCGTCTGGGTTTTCCATACGTAAGTAGCTATAAACATAAGTTGTCTCTGGCGCTTGGCAGTGTAGAGGTACTTTAGGTGCACGGTCTTACTTCTGCACCACCTTGAGGGGCAGGTAGGTAGGAATTATCCTCTCGTTAAAGAGGAAGCAGGTTTAGAGAGACGAGGCGCCTCGCCCTCTAACACAGAACTGGTGTGGCAGGAGCAGTGCGTGCTCCTTGTGAAGCAGGAATAAACGGGGTGCGACCCTGGGCGGGATGGGAAGACCAGGGCTCCAGGGCTGAAAACCGCCCAGTCAGTTCCCAGGCTGAGCAGCCCCGCCGGGCCCTCCAGGGAGATGGGTTCCCCGACTCATTTCTTCCATTTTGTGGTGGTGGTGAAATACACCTATTGTGACGTTCCCCATCAAAGCCATTTTACAGAATCCAGTTCGGTAGGGTTGAGTCCATTCGTGTGGTGCAGCCGTCACCACCCTCCGTCTCCGAACTCTCGTTATCCTGCGAAACTGTAATTTGGTGACCGTGTCCGCGGAGGCCAGCTCCCTGACCACTGTCGCCTCCGTCCCCTGGCAGCCTCTGCTCCACTTTCAGTCCCTGTGATTTCGGCTGCCTGAGCGACTCCTGAAAGTGGAGTCGTGCAGGACTTTGTGCGACGGGCTTATTTCACTTAGTATCATGCCCTTGAGGTTCACCCATGTTGTAGCATGTGACAGGGTTTCCCTCCCTTTTAAGGTCGGATGATATTCCATTACATGTGTATATCACATTTTCTTACCTATTTCATCTGTCAGCGGAAACTTGGGTTGCTTGTGTGTTTTAGCTGCTGTGAGCGCAGGTGTACAAACATCTCTTTGATATCCTGCTTTGAATTCCTCTGGGGCAGTTCCCAGAAGTGGGGTTGCTGGACCATGTGGCCATTTCTGTTTTCCCGTTTTTGGGGAGCCACTGTGCTGTTCTCCACGCAGCCACACCATTTTCTGTTCCCGCCGTCAGTGCGCACGCGGGTTTCGGTGCCTCACCAACGCCCGTTGCTTTCTGTATGTTTGATAGTGGCCACCCCAGTGCGTGGCCTGACGTGCTCAGGTTTTCTGCTGCGTCGTATCTGAGCTCCTGTCGTTCCGCCGAACACGTCGAAATCTGAACCGCCAGTCGGAATGGGAAGCAAAACCAGAGGAAGAATTGGGTGTCACCTAAAATTCTGCATGTTTGTAAGACCTGGCTGACATATTTGTGCAGTAGGTACCTGTTAAGGTGCTGGTAGTACTTCTGGATAAGGAGTTTTTAGGCTTCAGCAGGTACTGGAAAAGTTAGGAGCAAATAGTTCTGATCCTTTGTTTTCCAGGGTTTTGTTTGGTCGAATCATTAATCATGGCCCTCGGATACCTGTTGACTAGATTTTTGTATTTCCTCAGGAAAGATTAAACATTTGGCAGGCAGGCGGTGCCTTAGAGTAATTTAACTTGAAGTCACACACGTACATAAAAATGGTTCATCTGAAACTGCCGGAGAAGTTTCAGATGAACCACTTTTAGTTTCAGAGTGGCTATAATAGAAGGATAGATAGATGGCTGGCAAAAAGGTGCATTTTAAAATTCTGCCATAAGAAAGGAGCTAAATGTCTGAATATTTACTGGCTGTTATTTTGGACTAGTCAGTGATAATTAAAGCAAACTACTAGATGCCAGCATTGTTTTTTCCCTAATATTTTATTGTGAAAATCTTAAAAAAGACAGAAAAGTTGAAAATGAGCATTTATATACCCATTACTTAGATTCTACATTTCATATGTTACTAGCTTATCTCATATCAGTCCCATCTTTTGATCCGTGTTTTAAAATTTTATTATAATTACTTTTTTATTCAAAGAAGATCATGGTAAGATACACCTAACATAACCATCTTTAGTGTGTTCAGTGACATTATGTACTGGATACATTTTTGATGCATTTCCAAGTAAACTGGAGACATCAGTGCATTTCCCTTTAAATATTTTAGCCTTATTTTAAGTGTCTTGTACATATTCTTTCACTCGCCGAAGTAATCCTAAGAGCTAGGTAAAATTACCCCTGTTTTACGGAGTGGAGAACAGGCTCTTTAGGTCCCCAGGCCCCCACAGCTGGTCACTGACAGAGTCGGATCCCCTGGTCTCAGCCTCCAGTAACCAGTCTCTCCGCAGAGTTACCTCTGGGTGCCACCGTCAGAGTTCATGCTGGTGACAAGATGCTCTGCTGAACTCGCTGCCAAATGTCGCTTTCATTCAACTACACATTCAGCTGCCATTTGACCTTGCTGCGGGGTACGAAAGAAACACCAAAGAATTGTAGTACTGCTGAGGGGAAAGAGGAAGACACATAAATAGATACAAGTAAAGGCCAAAATGTATGACTGCATGATGTAGATAATGCTGAAGTAGTGCCATGTGTAGTTCCAGGTCTGTTGTTTAGAGATGTGTAGCCGGTGACACTGAGTTCCCGTAGATTCAAATAAACATTTTTTTACCTTTATGTTTGAAATGGTATACATGTCATAAGTTTAAATTCAGTCTAACCCTGCTTTCAGATGTATTTGTCACCACACTTTGCAGGAGCTGCTGGAGAGAATTGGCTATGAGGGTTGTCTTATTTTACTTTATTTTTCTGGACTAGCGAGTATCATCGATGCGAGGGTTGGAAAAGGGTAAGCAGGATAATCCAGAGCTGGGATTTGTTAGAATTTGTTTCACAAATGTCATGTAGTTGTCACTTTGAGTCAGGTATTGTGATAGGATGAGAGTCAAGCTGAGGTTAAGTCCTGACTGTGTGTTCTCATCTCCTGGTGAATGTTACCCAATTGCAGCCTTGCAGCACTGTTCCCGGTGAATTTGCTACTGTTACAGTCCCAGTGGTGGGGCTTCCCGCGTGGCACAGAGTTACCTACCACTTGGACTCGGATGCTCTGATTCCTGTCTTTGCTAGTTCTGCTCTGCCACTCTATTTATTCTCTCTGAAAGGGAGAATACACAATTTATAACAAGATCCACATGGCTGCTTCCACACCCAGGTCTTGCTAGCTTCTAGAAGAAATCCCCTGCAGTATATAAAATGTGGCAGTATTCTGCTGTTTATTGAACAGAACATATTGGAGTTTGAGGTAAGATAGCAAAAATAGAGAACATCTAGTTCTGATTGTCAAAGGCAGTTCTGACATGTAGTTTGTGAATTACTTCAGGTTATGGTCTTTAATTTTCTTTCTTTATATAACTGTTTAGAATGAAATGAAATTAAACACAGGGCATGTGAGCTAGTTTTCCTTCTAATATTACCCTCTGCCAGTTCATGGAAAAGTTGACATTGTAGTTGTATTTTAGCAGTGGGTAGAGATTTCTGACGGAGAGGAGGAAGCGTTTGAGACTTTTCACTGGGTCACCTGTTTGTGGTTTCACATTCTGGGCTGTGTAATTACAAGGCATCCTTGGTATCTGATCGTCACTGGGGTAAAGACAGCTCGGAAGGAGCAGCAGCCTGCAATCTCGAAGCACACCGGCCCAGGTCAGCGTGACCATGTGACACAGCCGTGGGAAACTTCAGTTGCAGAAGTTAGACAGATAACGCACACGTCAGGTCCTTTCCGAGAGAGTTTCTGCCCGTGCCAGGAGTCCTGGTGGCTTTAGGGGACGAGGCGTGGGAAGCTGTGGGGGTGAGCGTGGCTCTGTGGGCTCACGGAGACCGTTGCCTTCCTGACAGCCGGGCATGCAAACGAGCTGCTCTCTGGCAAAAGGCTAAATCGAGCCTGTATCATTTACATGTTGGTTACTCAACCAAATAGGGACGTTAAAATGGAAAATAACAATAGTTCAGGTTTTTTTTGTTTTTTTTTTTACTTGTAGTTTTTCACTTCCATCCCATTCCGTTTTGCTGGTGATTTCAATAAACTGTAATAGTTAATAAAGACCAGTGTCTGTGAGAATTGTTGGCACTAGGGCATCTGACCTTGTTTAGAAGATAGATGTTAAAATTGTGGGCATTGCCAGGGTCTGA